CCTTCCCTCGGGTGTTGCTAGAAGCGCCCCTGGCCCAAGATTCCCCCAGCTCGTCGCAGCATTTTGGAGCCCCTGGGCCCTCTGGGCCTCGTGAGGGGTGCCCTGGATGCCGCCTGTGCCACCCCGAGAACCCTGGGGGCACCTTGGACCAAGGGTACTTCTAGCAACGCCCGATTCCCGCGCTCGGTCCAGGACCCGACGAAGAGCGAGGCGCCGTCCGAGCAGCCCGCCGCGGAGACCGCCGCGGGCGCGGGCCAGGAGCAGGCTGCGGTCGCGGTGGCGACGTAGGCACAAGCTCGGACGGCGAAGAACGCCAACAACTGCAGAAACATAACTTTCGTAGCTCAATGTTTGATGGCCCCGCGGCCCGAAATTAGCCTTTAGAGGCTTCTCGAGAAACGCGTGTTCGAAGGTTATGTTTATGTAGTGTTTTGATCGTCCTGAATTTTATGCTCTGCTTTGGGGGCTGGCTCGTCGCTGTTCAGGCTCCTGTCGCGTTTCCTGCCCCAGACCTCCTCTTCGTCCTCGTCATCAACTCCTCCTCCTCCTCTGCCTCCTCCTCCTCGCCATCATCCATGTCTTCCTCCTAGTCATCCTCGTCCTCGTCCACCCTCTCCTCCTGTTTCGCACCACCTCTACATGAGGGGTGGGCGCGTCAGATAGCGTAAGATAGCGTCATCTCTCCTCCTATGATTCCTCCCCCCCCCTCATCCCTCTCGTCCTCCTCATATTCATCATCCTCATCCTCCTTCTCTCCTCCTGTTCCAAATCTACCTCTACCTCGAGGGGGGCGCGTCAGCTAGCGTAAGATAGCGTCAGCTCTCCTCCTCTGCCTCCTCCTCGCCCTCATCCCTCTCTTCTTCCTCTTATTCCTCATCCTCATCCTTCTCTCCTCCCGTTCCGCATCCGCCTCTACCTCCACGAGGGCGCGTCAGATAGCGTAAGATAGCGTAAATTATCTTCCTCTGCCTCCCCCTCCCCCTTCATCCCTCTCTTCTTCCTCTTATTCCTCATCCTCATCTTCCTCTCCTCCCGTTCCACATCCGCCTCTGCCTCTGCGAGGGCGCGTCAGATAGCGTAAGCTAGCGTTACCTCTCCTCCTCTGCCTTCTCTCTATCCTCATCCATATTATTATTGCTATTTCTATTATTCTTATTCCGACCCCTTACTCGCTGGTCGTTGAAAGCAAGCGTTTCTGGATTTCCAGACCGCAATCTATTTCAAGCGCCTTCCTACATAATTATTATACCTACATCTTGCGACCGATGTGCACCATTACCCTCGTCCCTTCCTGTTCCGCATCCACGTCGGGGCGCGTCGGCTTGCGATAGCGATGTATATAGTTGGAAAGCTATATCAGAGGCCGGCGAAGCTGGCATGTGCATGGCAGGGGCCGAATTGAATATACATTTTTGTTGCTGCTCCGAACGTGAATCGTCCTTTCTACTTCCCCCTCCTCCTCCCGCCCTCTCCTCCCTCCCCCTCCCTTCCCCCCCATCCTCCCCCCCTTTCTCTCCTCCTCCCCAGAGGTGCGCGGTCATCAGATTCTGATGACATATGTATGTTGTCAAACGTCTGATAACATACATGAGTATTTGATAACAACATGCTTACATCGTACACGCATATTAAACTATTACGGTTGTACACCTTCATGTAATATCGGCAAAGAAAAATAAGGTAACACGTCGGGCCCGCTCGGATGTCAAATGTGGCGCGCGCGCATGATTGAGCGGATGGCGCGGAGGGCAAGGATGTCGGATGTGGCGCGGTCCGCCCGCGCTCCATTTGTCGGCGACGGGGAATGCCTGCCGTCGTTTCTAAACCATTTCGGCAATTTGGCCGGCGTCAGCTTTCGCTAAAAAAGAGGAGGAGGGACGAGGGAGGAGGGGGGGGGGGGGGGTGGGGGGGGGGGAGGAGGGGGGAGGGAGGGAGGAGGGGGGGGAGGGACGGGGTGGGTGAGGAGCAGGGGAGGAGGGGGGAGGGAGGAGGAGGGAGGAGGGAGAGAGGAGAGAGGATAGGCGAATGAGGATACTATGAGAGAGGAGGAGGAGGAGGAGGAGGAGGACGAGGAGGAGGAGGAGGAGGAGGAGGAGGAGGAGGAGGAGGAGGATGTGGCTATCCCTCCTCATCCCCACCGTTCTCCATGCCTTCCCTTCCCGCCCTTTCCACCATCTCTCTCCCGCACTGTTCTCCATCCCACAAGCCCGCGCGCTCTCCCCCCCCTCCTCCTCGTGGAGGGCCGCTGAGGCCCGAGTGGCCTTCGGGCCATGGCCTCGGAGGAGGCCGAGGCCCCCGAGCCTCAGCGGCGCCGCCCGACGCCGCGCTCGGCGGGCTTCAAGGATGCGTCCGCGCTGCAGGAGGTGTTCGGCAAGTTCTGGACAGAGCCCACGAGCGTGGACTACCCGACGGACGACGCGCTGGACTCCGAGGTTATTCCCTCCTCTTATGTTCCTTCCTCCTCTTGTTCTTTCTCGCCCTGCCCCCTCCTGCCCAGTGTCCTCCTTGTCTCTTCCTCCTCCTCCTCCTTCTCCTCCTCCTCCTCCCCCCCGCGCCCCCCTCTAACCCTCCTCTTCTCCTCTCCTCCTCCTCCTCCTCCTCCTCCTCCTCCTCCTGGTCCTCCTCCTCCTCCTCTTACTCCGCCTCCCCTCTTTCTTTCCTCCTCCTCCTCCTCCTCCTCCTCCTCCTCCTCCTCCTCCTCCCCCTCCTCCCCCTGATTGTCTCATGTCAGCCCTCGGGTGCTGCTCAAGCACATCGAGTTGCTGAAGGCGCTGCGCGGCATCGCGCCCAAGGGCGGCATCGCGCCCTCCGTCGCCCTGGCCGCGTTCAAGGCCCTCGCGGCCGCGAACGAAGCCTCGTGGCGGCTCAGCCCAGATGCCGACAGCTGGGCGGAGGGCGCCAGCAAGATGGTTCGCTTCATGATGAAGCATGTGGGCAACGCGCTGGCGAGGACACGCGGGAACCAGCGAAAGTTGGGATAGGATGAAGAGGGGGAGGGGGAGCAGGAGGAGGAGGAGGAGGAGAAGGAAGGAAGGAAGGAAGGAAGGAAGGAAGGAAGATGAGGAGGATAAAGACTGGGAGCAATGGGAGGAGGTGGAGGAAGTGGAGAGCAGGTGGTTAAAGGTAGAGGGAAAAGGGGGGAGTAAGAGGGGAACGAGGTGGAGGGGGGCAAGGGGTCGGAGGAAGAGTAGGAGGATGAGGATGAGGATGAGGATGAGGATGAGGATGAGGATGATGATGATGACGATGAGGAGGAGGAGGAGGAGGAGGAGGAGGCGGCATGCGTGCCTCTCCCAGGACCAAGCAGCCCAAGTGGGTGGCGCCCTTCGCCGCAGAGGCAATGGAGACGGCTGACGCCCAGGAGGCAGCTGCAGAGGGGGGGGAGGAGGAGGAGGAGGAGGCGGCTGACGCCCAGGAGGCGCTGCAGCCGGCGCCCAAGAAGGCGAAGCCCGCGGCGGCCGCGGCGAGGGCGGCGCCGAAGGAGGGCGAGAGCCTCTCAAATGTCGCCTAGTTCGTCCTCCTCCCCATGCTCTTCCTCCTCCTCCTCCTCCTCCTCCTCCTCATCCTTCTCCTCCTCCTCCTCCTTATTCTTCCCAGCTCCTCTCCTCCCGCCTCCTCCTGCAGTGCTCGTCGTCGATTCCCACCTCCTCTCTCTCCTCCCACCTCCTCCCTCCCAACCTCCTCGCGCCTCCTCCAGGGCAGCTGGGAATCCCCTGGGCCGCAATCCTGGATCCAGGGCCTCAAGGGATTCGAAAACCTCCAGGGGCCTCGGTGCATCGGCCTCGAGGGGCCCCCAGAGCCCCAGCAGGGAATGGAAGGGGGGGGGGGGCGTCGCCCTGGTGCCGCAGAGGACCACGGGCTGCACGTCATCCACAAGACGGACGTCTACGGCTACGGCTTCAGCGAGGAGTCGCAGGCCATGCTGAGACGACGACGACGACGATAGAGGACCGAAGTTAGATGGGGAAGAGGTGGAGAGGTGGGAGGGAACGGGTCCACGTGAGAGGGCTACGGGGGAGAGGTTCGAGTAGGTGAGTCGGCGAATGGGGGGCGGCTGAGGCGGGCGGGATGTGGGAGGGGAGGTGGGATGGGCACATCGGGCGCGCGGGCTCTACCGCGGGCCCTCGCTCTCATAAGCAGCGCAGCTGCCACCTCCCCTTCCGAACGGGGGTTTGGGGGAGGGAAGGTGGAGAAAGAGGGGGGGGGGGTGGGGGGGAACTGAGGTTGCGGAGTGAGTAGAGCTCAAGAAGAGAGAGAGAGAGAGGAGAGAGAGAGAGAGAGAGAGAGAGAGAGAGAGAGATAGAGAGAGAGAGAGAGAGGAGAGAGAGAGAGAGAGAGAGAGAGAGAGAGAGAGAGAGAGAGAGAGAGAGAGAGAGAGGAGAGAGAGAGAGAGAGAGAGAGAGAGAGAGAGAGAGAGAGAGAGAGAGAAGAGAGAGAGAGAGAGAGAGAGAGAGAGAGAGAGAGAGAGAGAGAGAGAGAGAGGAGAGAGAGAGAGAGAGAGAGAGAGAGAGAGAAAGAGAGATGAGAGAGAGAGAGAGAGAGAGAGAGAGAGAGTGAGATAGAGGAGAGACAAGGAAAAACATGTAGCGACGTGAGAATAGGAAAGGGAAGCAGGAGAGCGAGAGAGCGGGATAGTGAGAGGACACGAGGGGCAGAGAGAGAGAGAGAGAGAGAGACATAATGAGAGAAGGAGCGAGAGAGGATCGAGAGAGACACAGAGAGAGAGAGAGAGATAGAGCGACATTTCGGACTACAACGAAGCAGGAAAAGGATGAGGAGGATGACTGCGAGGAGGAAGAGGAGGAGGAGGAGGAGGAGGAGGAGGAGGAGGGGGAGGAGGAGGTGGAGGAGGAGGAGGAGAAGGAGGAGGAGGGGGAGGATGATCGAGAGGAGGAGGATGAGGAGCAGGAGGATCACGAGTAGGAGGAGGAGGAGGAGGAGGAGGAGGAGGAGGACGAGGAGGAGGAGTGATGACCCCCCCCGCATGCACCCTCCGCCAGGCTGCATGGCGGTGCAAGTTGGCCGACGGCCCGCCCAAGCTGAGCGGCCCCGCGGCGGTCGCCATCACGCCAGTGGTCCAGCAGGAGTCGGGCGAGTGGATCGCCAAGTTTGCCGATGGCGACTCGTGGACCGCGCCGTCGGCGGTGGTGGACAAGCTCCCGCCCAAGAGCGGGCCAGCCACGCTCTGGCGGCAGGAGGCAGGCGATCGTCAGGTCAAGATGCAGCTCCACCTGGTGACCAAGAAAGATGACAAGTGGTTGAGCTTGTTCCAGTGGCCGAACAATGTCAAGAAGCAGGCGGTGCAGCTCATTCCGCCGCCTGGGGAGCTCGACAAGTGCATCAACTTCATGAAGGAGAACGTGCCCAGGTTTGCACGCGGCGAGATCGGGAAGCCACAGTTCGAGGAGATGAAGAAGAGCTTCACCGACGCCATTCGGAAGGAGGCCAGGGAGAAGGCGAAGGATCTCCAGAGCGCCGCCCAGGGCGGCAGCGGCGCCGCCATGAAGCGCCCAGCCGCAGCAGCAGCAGCAGCATCAGCAGCAGCAGCAGCGTCAGCAGCAGCAGATCCTGCGAAGCCTGCAGCGAAGGATGACGACAACGATCTCGAGCAGGAGTGGGCGGAGGGGCGCGAAGCTTTGACAGAGCCAGTTGACGACGCGGAGCAGCCGCCCAGCCCGCCGAAGGCCGACACCAGTGAGGATCCTCACAGCAGCAAACGTCGGAAGAGGCAGAAAACATCAGGTGAACCAGCGACGGCGGACAAGCAGCCGAACACCGCGATCAAGACGAAGCCGCCGAACGCCGCGAGCCAGGCGCAGCTGGAGAGCCAGGCCGACACCAGAGAGGAGACGCCAGTGACGGAGGCGCAGCAGGCGCCAGCAGCAGCCAGCAGCTCGCAGGCACCAGCAGCAGCCAGCAGCTCGCAGGCACCAGCAGCATCCAGCAGCTGGCAGGGCGCCGCAGCTGCGCCGAGGCCGCCCGCGCTGATGAGGTACACGCTCGATTGCCTCTTCGGCTGATCGTGCCGTGGGCGCAGCAGGCGTTTGCGGGGGATCGATGCCACGCAGTGCGGCATCGCGTCTCGCACCTTTCTGTACTTTTTTTTTTTTTTTTTTTTTTTTTTTTTTTTTTCCCCCGAGGGCGAGGACGCGCTCTCTGAAAACGAAGATGCCTTATGTCGGCGGATGTGCGATGCTTCGGCGATGTGATTGTGAATCTTCAAGGGGTGCATCGGCGATGTGGATTCGACGAGGTTTCGACGCGTCGAAATCGCGTCGAAATCGATAGCGTTGATCGGGAGCAGTCTGTCCCTCTCCCCTCGTCATGCTGGTCCTCATCCTCCTGATTCTCCTCATCCACCTCCTATCCTCATCCTCATCCTACTCATCCTCCCTTCCCCTGCTCTCATCCTCCTCCTCCTCCTCATCCTCCTCCTCCTCCTCGTCAGCATCACCCCCCGCCCCTTGCCCATGGGGCCCGGCTCCCATGCCCGCCTGCAGCCGGATGCCAATCACCCAGCACAGATCCAGCGTGGTCGACATTTGCGCCTCGCCGAGAGCAAGTGCCGATGAGGGCGGTGGGGGATGCTAGCGCGGGAAAGGCAATGAGTGGAGGTTAGGGGGGAGGCGCGGGAGGGCGGTTGGAGGAGTGCAGGGTGGAGGAGGGGGGGAGGGGAAGTTGTGCTCCAGCATCCCAATGCAGCGTTCAGATTGCGACGACGTCTCAGGCGGCGAGAATTGGAGCGTAGCCCAGTGCTCATATTAAACCTCTTCCTTCGAAATCAAATGAAACAGCTCACGCTCGCGCTAGCTCGAGGCCCACCCCCCGCCCCCCACCCCGCAACGCTCCACCTCGCTCCGCAGCCGAGACCAATGCCAAGCAAAGTTACTTGGGTTGAGACGCCCGTTAAAGACCCTTGGTTCACGCCTATCGGAGCGGCTCTACTTCGGAGAAGCGCCATGGCTTCGCAGGCCGCGGGGAGCCAGGCCACTTCCCGCACGCTCGAGGACACGCAGCCGTGCGTCACAATGCCCATCAGCGACGAGGAATCGGATATGCACACGATCCCCGCCGACTCCGAGGATGCCGTCATGCTGGCTGCCCGTTCTGACGGCGGAAACGACTCCGACAACGAGCCCCTGATCCCGAGAGGCTCCGACGACGCGCCCATGACCCAGCAGAGCACGGGCGAGGGCCAGGGCGCGGCGCTGACAGGCGCGACGAGTGCTGGCGAGCCGCCAGGTGCGTCGCCTTCAGCTGGGCAGCCGCCAGCCACGCAGCGTTCGCTGACGTCGGACATCCCTGCTGGGCAGCCGTCAACGCCGACGCCAGCCGCGCCGCCTTCGCCAGCCGCCCCATCATTGCCACTGGGTGCTGATGCCCAGAGCTGCGGGCATTACGGCGCGGGCGAGGACTGCCGTTCCATAGTGCCGAATTTGCATCCACGCACCTCTTCCTCATCCTCATTCTCCTGAGGTCGTTCCCCATCTACTGCGCATGCTTCGCCTTAATTCCCTACTCCCCCCACTCTCCTTCTTCTCATCATCCTCCTTCTTATCCGATTGCTCCTCCTAGTCATCTCTATTACCCTTCGGCCTGCGCCTCATCTTCTCATCGTTATCCTCATCTTCCTCCTCTTTCTAATCTTCCTTAGTCTCGAACATTCAGCCTCTACTCAGTGCCATCCTCTGTCTATCTCGCTCTTGACAGGAGCCGCTCGGAGATATCAGCAGGGAGTCGAAGTGGTACTGGTGGCCCAAGTTTCTACACGGCGAGCCGCCCGAGGACGCCCCAGCGTCGTCGATCGTTGCACGCTCATCCTGCTCTTTCCCCTCCTCGCCTCAGCCTCGCCCTCCTCATCCTCAGCAAGGACCCGCTGCCCGATGACGACGCGTTCGACGAGGAGATGACCAAGGCAGTCACGGCGCGCGGGTCCACTGCCGACATGCACAACAAGGTCGCTCATCCGACTTCCCTCCTTCATCCTCCGCATTTTACCCTTGTCAGCCCTCTCCCTCCTCGCACCGCTCCCCCTCGCGCTGCAATCTGCCCTCCAAGCCCATCAATATCAGCATTCATATCACTCCTTCCCCCTTCTCTCTCATCATGTTTCGTTCCCCCATGCCATATCGTTCCTCCTCCTCCTCCTCCTCCTCATCCTCCTTCTCATCCGCATATTTTGCCTCCTCGCCATTCCGTCCGCCATCCTTCTCGTCGCCCCCGCCCCCTCCTGCCCCACCCCTCCTCACCAACCTCTCGAGGTTCGCGAGCTCTTCGAGGGGCGCGGCTGGACATTCCCGCCCCTCGCGCCAGCAGCAGCAGCAGCAGCAGCAGCAGCGCCAGCCGCAGGCACGCCATCAGCAGCATCAGCAATATCAGTCGAGAGCGACGGCGACGACATGACGCAGCCGAATGCGAAGAGATTGCGGCGGTGGACCAGGGCTCCAAGATCGGCGGCCGCGACGCCTCCAGCCGCGGTCGGCGACGGCTGCATCGGCCAGTCCGGCAGCCAGGCCCAGGCCGACAGCGCCGCTGGCCCCGCGAGCAGCGGCCCCTGCGGCAACGGGGGGGGGGGGGGGGGGGGGGCTGAACGCGCCGCCGAAGAGAACGAGGCGCGTGGAGGGGGGGCGGGAGGTGGAGGAGGACGAGGAGGAGGAGCTGGATGAGGACAGGAGGTGGGGGAATTCAGGAGGAGGTGGAGCGAGGAGGCGGAGGAACAGCAGGAGGAACTCGAGGATAGGGTGGGAGAGGATCAGTGTGCGATCGAGGACGAGGATGTCGCGGGACAGGAAAGAGATAGAAAGAGAGAGAGAGAGAGAGAGAGAGAGAGAGAGAGAGAGAGAGAGAGAGAGAGAGAGAGAGAAACAAAAAACGGAGACAGAGAGAGAGAGAGAGAGAGAGAGAGAGAGAGAAAGGAAGATAGAGAGATGAGCAGGAAGTGGAGAGTTTGTGATAAATCAGCAAGGCAGCACGTGAGCGAGGTGGCGAGGTTGCAGTTGACTGTGGAGCAGGTGGTCGAGAAGATGGGCACGGACCCGCAGCCGCTGGAGATCCAGAAGCTGATGCGTTGCATGGTGGAGGACGCGAGCGTGACGCACATGAGGGAGCTGCAGAGGAAGGACGGCATGATCCCAGATGCGGCTGACGAGAGCGATGACGAGGACGCTGCTGATTCACAGCCAAAGTCAAACGCCAAGCTGGAGAAGGATTTGCAGGAGAAGTCCTTCTGGGAGAAAATCAAGAACCAGGGGTTCGCAGTGGGGGCTGCGGCGACGAGGGGGAACCCCGTAGGAGGCAGGTGGGCCCGAGCTGTCAGCAAAGTTGACAAGAACGGGGAACCTTGCAGGTTGAAAGTCGACTACGACGCCTGCTAGGACGACGACGAGCGGGCCGAGTTCCGCAAGAAGTGGGCGCAGGAGAAGTGGGCAGAGTATCAGCACGTCACTGTCAAGAAGGTCTCCGAGAGGAAGAGGCTTTTGAAGAAGGCCGCATACATGCCACTCGGCCGAGTGGCGCACAAGGAAGGAGGGGGACAAGCAGGTTGGGCCCAGGCAGTGAAGTACTTCAGCAAGTGCGTGCGCATGGGCTACCCGTGGATCAAATGGCACAGCATGACAGAGGTGCACCGCTGCTTGTACGGAACGGAAAGCATCGAAGAGGAGTTCGAGCAGGCCTGGGAGACCCACGAGAAGGGGTACGGCAAGATGATTCGGGCATCGACCGCAGAGGGCCAGCCGAGCAGCGCCGCTGGCGACGAGGACACTCCCCCGTACGAGGCCATCGGGGTGGCCAGCTCCGCAGCAGGGCAGCCAGGCTCCGCAGCAGCAGCAGCAGTGCAGCAGCAGCAGCAGAAGCAGCAGTGCAGCCCAGCAAATGCAGCAATGATCATGACCGACAAGTCGAGGGAGAACGAGGAGATCTTAGCTGGAGCTGATCAGCAGAAGGCTGAGGAGGCGGCCGCGCTGCGCCCAGCCGAGCAGGCCGAGGCGCGCGCTGGCGAGGGGGCGCAGGCCAAGCGCAAGGCTGAGGCGCAGCCCAAGCGCAAGGCTGAGGACGAGGCCAAGCGCAAGGCTGAGGAGGAGGCCAAGCGCAAGGCTGAGGAGGGTACTGCTGGCAGAAAGCGCAGGGGGGGCGGCGCGGGCAGCCAGGCAGCAGGCAGTGGCGGCGGAGGCGGCGGAGGCGATGCAGCGGCCACTGACATTTGCGACGACGTGAAGAGCATCATGAAGGAGGCGAGAATGAACGTGCTGCTGTACAGCTCTGTGATATCGACTGGGCAGACGATCCAGAATGCGGTCACCGCTGATCCGTCGTGGAGCTTCGCGAGGGGCATCAAGGAGGTGCAGGAGGTGCGGAAGGCCATGGGCATGTTACGACGACGAACGGCAACTAGGAGGAAAAAGGATGAGGAGGAGAAAAAGGAGGGTCCCCAAAGCAGAGGAGGGGGATATGATCAGGAGGACATGTGGGGTGTGTAACGTCGTCAGTAACAACAGCAACAACAACATCATGCAACGACGCAAGCAACAGCAGTATGAGGATGATGCAAGCGGTGATCATGAACATCGCCAGGTGCCCAAACTGCAACTGCAACAACAGCAACATCAGAAACCGCAGCACTATCAGCGACAGCAGCGACGGCAGCAACGTAGCGCCGCTCATCCCCCCTCCGGCTCGCCAGGCGATGGACAACATCACCGTCATCCTGAGCACCACGAACGTGCAGGATCTCCTGTCCGACGATCTCACGAAGGTGAGGCGATCGAAGGGGGTTGATGACTTCACGAGGTGCGTGGAGGATCTGCGCAAGCTGGTGCCATTCCTCAAGGACCTTCTCTTCTCGAGGGAGTGATTCAGATAGTTCAGTGGACTCGAGAGGATGATGACCTTCGTCGCCGCGGCTTGATTCGCCTCAAAATGGTGCGAAGTAACATATCAATCGAGGGAAACGTAGTTTCTGGTGAAGCGTTGGATTTGGGAATGAATTCTTGACGCTTAGCGTATCCCAATCAGCCCATCCAGAAACGATCACCAGGGGGGCCGGTGAATCAGGGGAGACAGGACGCATGCAGTTGCGCAGCCGTCTTCGGGAAAACAGGGATCACAAAGAGCTTACCGCATTGAAATTTAATATGGAAATCAGTGCAAGCTACGATGGTGTTTCGATGAGGGGTGAGGGGTGGTTCGATGACTCGTAATGGCTGTTGCACTGATTTGTATAGTAAACTCGCGTGAGTTTCGAAACTGATCAAAAAGATCTGGGAAATCCACGCGCCCATCAGCTCGAATGGTTTGTCAATGTTCTTGAGACCTCTTGGAGGCTATCTTGAGCTAGTGGCTGTCGGATGCTATCTGGAGCAATGCTCGGCTATATTGGTCATCGTGAGGCTGTCTTGAGGCCTCTTGGAGGTATGTCGGAGGCTATCTTGAGCCATGATTGCCTATCTTAGGCCGTTTTGAAGGCCATCTTGGGCTATCTAGGGCTCTCGTGTAGCCATATCGGGCCAAAAAGGGCGGGGTGTAGGGTCTTTGGGAGAGGCTGGGAGGCACCTTGGGGCCATCTTGGGCCACATGACTCAACAAGAATATATTCCTTAATTAGAACAGCCCCCTCGGAGGCTCTCAAACGGCGTCTTGGGGCCGTCTTGGAGCGCTCTTGGGCGCCTCGTGGGCGATCTTGGAGCCGTCTTGGGCCTTCTTGGGCCCCTCGTGGTGCTCTTTTGGGCCATCATGGTGCCGCCGTGGGGCTTCCAAAACCCATCGGACGCGAAAACGCGAGTATGCCTGACATAGTGATTTCACATCGGCGTTTGAAAGATTTGGCATCTTGGCGGGTGCCGTTGAAAACTCGAAAAACACTTGGATCTGTCTTGGGGCAGCCGCGATGCATCTTGGATGAGTGTCGGAGGCGATCTTGGGCCATCTTGAGCTATAGCGTGCTATCTTGGAGGCCATCTTGCGCTCTCTGATGCCCTCTTGGAGCCATCTTGGGCCAAACATGACCCTCGAACCCCTCGGTCTCCCGCCGCCCATGCCCAAGGAGTGATGGGGGGGTATGCCAGGGACGTTGGAAACGAAACCGTTCTAGACCACATCCCCCCAGAAAGCTGGTTGGACTGGCGGGGTGGAATGGCGGCAAGGAGACGGGGGATTTGGGGGGGAGGGGGTTGTGTTGCTGTGGATGTACAGGGGCGGACTACCTATCCATTTCCCCCTCTCTCCACCGAGAGGATGTCCAGAGGAACACGCGCATCCTCCTGGGCTACAAGAAGGTGAAGGAGGATAACGACAAGAGCGAGTAGGTCGCATGCTGATTGCTGGCGATATTCGCAAATCAATTTCTGTTTGATGGATGCCACGTCGTTCGACACCCATGGGACCAAACATGTGGCGATCTGTATGTTTTCCCCAAAATGTGACGATTTTTTTGAAAACATCCAGGATTTTGGTCAAACCATTCAATTTAGATGCGTCTTCGTCGCGTCGAACGTGCCGTCGAACCTACCGTCTAACCTACCGTCTAACCTACCGTCTAACCTACCGTCTAACGCCGCCGATCCCTGATAATTAACCGGGTAGCCTACCGTCTAACCTACCGTCTAACCTACCGTCTAACCTACCGTCTAACCTACCGTCTAACCCCCCCTTCGACGCGACATCGACGCATCTAAATTGCCGTCTAAATCCAGGATTTGCGAATCTGCGTGGTTTTCACAATTTCAACCAGATTTCGCGCGTCAGTGGTGGCGATGCGAATGTTTGAAGCATCGGAGGCCCTCTGGTGCCCAGTTGCGCGCTCACTGCCCAGTCTCCACCCTCTCGGTCCCAGCTCAGCATTTATGCATCCCGTGGGGGTCGTGGATATATTGGGAGAGCGGGAGAGAGAGACATACAGAGAGAGAGATAGAGAGAGATAACGGCAGAGACATACATATACACTGTGTATATTTCTGTGACAGCCGCACAGACAAATGCACAGCCACACAACCAAACAGAAATACAGAAAGACAAACAGATAGACAGACAGACATGTAGAGGGCATGAGCAATCGTGTTTTTTTCAGCCAGTCGTAATTGCACTCGTCTCGCATGTACCCTCCTTCCCTCATTTACAGCCTCCATCACTAGTTTCGCATTCTCCATGTGCCCTCCGTCGTTCAGGTGTCCAATGTACGCGTCGCTAGTGCATTCCGAGCGTTCCTGCCACCTCCCTGCCCATCTCCCACCCCTTTCAACCTGTTCGGAGTCCCTCAACTCTCTCATCCGGCTCACTCCTTCAGTCTGCTGCTGCACTGGCAGTGCAGCGCGCGCGTGCTCGATCAGTGCAATCGTGGTGGCACACGGTGCTGCAGACCACTCACCGTAGGGGTCTTACTTGGGGTGCAGAGCTGGTCTCTGCGTGACGAGCAGAACGGTGGACTCGTGCGTCAATCAAACTTGGGCAACCGTATAGGTGGCGCGCGGAAGGTGGGGTCAATGCACAAGGCGCCTCATATCACAATGACAGCTCCATGGGGGCCCTCGAGCGGTGCACCCTCATTCCGCTGCCACCACTTGCGAATACCCAACAGTCGACGTGTCACGTTCTCTACCATTGATCGCCAACAGTAATCTCATCAACGCAGCCATCTCCGCTCGAGCTGATTTTCGTGGGGGTCATGCCTCCGAAGAGACGAGTTCGGGGAAAGGTCAGCAAGGCCCAGCCAGGGCCTCGGGGGCCGCGGAGATGGACTGGCGCTGCGAGTGCTACACATCGTGAGGGAGGAGCACAGTTGATGAGATTGCTGTTGACGTGGTATGCCTCGTGCAAAATCACTGCGCAGCAGTTCTGCGTTGCGTGCCACTACTGCGGTGTGGCTGGTGTGAAAGGCGCTGCCTTCGATATGTATGCGTGCGAGCCTGGCAAGTTTTCAGGCCACTATCAGCGACACCTCGACTCGATCTTACCATCCCCTGGCCCGCTCTACGATATTCGGGTACCAGTTAACTTGTTCTACAGCCCGATCCGATCGACGACGAGCATCCCGATGAAGTACGCATGGCAGTGCATCGATGAAGAGTACGAAAACAATCACACGATCGCTGAAACACTTGCGAAGGACCCGAGCGAGAGAAATACGTGTATCCTAGATGTCCCAGCCTACAAGGAACACCCCCTGGTTGTGACTGCAGAAGCAAATCGTGAGCAACGTCCCCTTCCTATCGGCCTGTATATGGACGGAATTCGATACATCTCCCAGGCAGCCGGTCGAAGCGACACGGTTACGGGGATATGGTTGGTCAACCTCTTGTCTGGAAGGCGGCACCTTTTATCGTCTTTAAGGCATTCGGATGAATGCGCGCGCGGCTGCCGTGGCTGGGATTCGATATACCCGTTGTTGCTCGCTTTGACGTGGATGATCCGCGCAATGGTGCGCGGAGAGACTCCGCAGTTTCGGCACGATGGGTGTGCTTGGGAGGAGGGGTCAGAGTATGCAGAATGTGAACGGTTTGCCACGCAATCTGTTTTGATCTGGATCAAAGGGGACATGATGGAGCATGCGAAGACCCTCGGCTTGGCCCCGTACAGTACATACTACTGTCCTTGCCCTTTTTGTGAGTGCGTGTCTTCCGAGATGCATTCGTTTTACGATGACCTCGCTGAGCCAAATGGTCCCCCATGGATCCTCAGAGAGCACGAGCAATACGAGCACGTGTGTCAATCATGTGAAGAAACAGTGCGTATTCGAGACGAAGACGATCGGCGCGCCCTGGTCAACTGCATTGCTGTTCTTAAGATGGATAAGGGGCGCGGTCGCACAATTGTACGACCCGCTGTCGTCAACGGTGTGGCTCTGCAAGTTGGGGATAGATTAGATCCGTCAGAACACTTAATCGACCCTGCTGGATTAGCATCGATTGAACTTCCAGCCACGGTGGTCCTCTGGAGGCCTGGTTATTCTGAAGGGGGCTTGCCGACCGACTGCGTCACTCACAGGACCCCGTTTTGCTTATGTTTACGTGCGTGGAGGGGGAGGGAGGTGGCGGGTGGGTGACTTAGATGGTGGATAGGCGGGGGGGGGGGGGCGATATAGGTGGGAACGTGTCGTCGTCGTGGAATTGCAGATTCCAATGCAAAAAAAAACAGAGTTTAGCCCAGGTGTCCATTATTCTGCTCCGACGTTTTACACACGTCTCCGCCGCGGACCTTGGCGATCGACAGTTTGCACGCGCTGTGCTTGGGACCGTGCCTGCGTTTCGTGAGTGCTGGGTTGTGGCGCTGCATCTTACATAACCCCTGGGGGGATACGGGGACCATCGAAACTCTCGTGCAGAATGGCTGTCAACACATCAGTAATGAGCTCAGGGCTTGGTCTGCC